ATGTTGGACAAGCCTGGCCTATAGCCTACAAAAGCTTATGCCTCTTTGAACAAGGTAGTCTATAAGGTGCCACCCTGCCCTGCCTTCTGACCTAAAAGGAAAATAAAACTCCGGTTCAGTTATTTGGACTTTTTTTGCACACAATTCTTATTGGCTCACTAGCTACATGATGAATGGCACTTCCACTGTCAAAAATGCTTTTGTTTCAATCTATCAGGCAACTTTTCCCTTTGTACAAACACATAAGCTGCCTCAAAGGCTGTGTCCTGGCCTGACTTTGTGTGCTGTGAAAAACGGGTAAAATTTCTAAAATAAAAACCAGATAACTGGTGTCTTTGCCTGCAGCTGTGGAAGCAGGACAGGAATTCTGGAAATTAGGAAACTTTCTCCAGTAATGCAATTTGGGGATTTTTCCTGGAAATGTAACACGTTCTTATGAGATCTGAACAGTGGGATTTTAGCATGAATATATTTAATGAGGAAGGTATAAGGATTGTTGTCTTGAATTATTCTGACCTTCCCACAAGTTATGGTGCATTGTTTGGAGACTAAGCTCAGTAAACCAGGAGGTCTATCCAAGCCCTGCATTCCTGTGTTCATTTGAAAACATTGCTTGTAAGACGAGTCCTTATTGCTGTGGTGTGATATGTGACTATTAGTAGTCACTAGGGCTGTGTGAAGCTTCAGTCCCTGATTCTATTTGGTGGAGATTCGGCCCGATTCAGTGGCCAAATCTCCAAATCCAAATTGAATCAGGAAACCCTTTCAAGCTCTCCAAATCAAATCGGAACCCTCCGAATCGATTCAGAAAGATTTGACAATTCAGACATAAACACAGCTTTAAATGTTTTTTCGACATACCTCAGAAAAAGTGGGGGCTCCCCCTGCACTCCTGTGGGACACTCCATCCGCCCCAGCATCACAGCCTTCACGAGGCATGCCTGGTACCTCGAGGTATGTAGAAAAAACATTTAAAGCTATGTCTATGGCCGAATCATTGATTCTCCGAATCAGCATCAACTCTTCAGATTCGGATTCAGCTGAATCAAATCGGGGACAGTAATCCGAATCAACGAATTGAATCACTGTCCCCGATTCAATCCAAATCGAATACAGCCCGTTTCACACACCCCTAGTTGTCACACAGCTGTGTACTGGTTGCACATTTAACCTGGCCATTAATCTAAGGACTCAGTTCAATGGTTCATTAACAGACAAAACTCACACTGAAACTGGGCTCATCAAAAATTAGTAAAATATAGTCACTTAACTCCTCCCAAGAAGCTCTTGTCACTTTAACGTACTGGTTTTCATGTTAGTGGAATAGAATCTTTCATGAACCTTCTTTGGGAGTATTAGGCACATAGAGCATCTTTACATGTGCTCTGAAGTGGGGTTGGTGGTGCTTTAATTAGAACAGTTCTAAGGAAGTACTCTAATTAAAGTGTCTACAGCATCTTGTATATTCATCATCCCACACTTCAAAACGGCAGCGGGGAGCACTTTAACTAAAGCCCATTTGACGAGCTTTAGTTGAAGCACCCCCACTGCCATTTGGAAGTGCAGGGATGCTGAATACACATGACACCAAGGCTGTTGGAGCCCTAATTAGCACACTCCAGCAGACTCAGTCAAGTTTACTCTGATGCATGCTAATTAGCATGTGTTGGAGCAGGTGACAGACTCATGTATAGGTGCCCATGGAGCCTGGTTCGTAGCTCGTGCAAATCAGCAAAACTTTGTCAATTCTATTGGGATCAGACAGGTTGGCACCAGCTGAGAGTCTAGCCCATACAGTTTATTCCCTACCCTCAATATCAACTCTGGGGAAGTTGTATTCAAATATTTATGTTTATTTTCCTTAGATGATGTTGTGAAACTGTTGATAATCTATTTATTGGGGGTGGGGGTGAGGTGGGGAACATTGAGTCTTTGTTGCAGCATTATTCTAACTGTATTAAGAAGCAGATTGACTTTCGGGGGGGGGGCTTTGGTTTTTTAGGTGAAACTTCCTTTCCCCGTTGATCAAATCACAGATCTTCCAAGGAACGATTTCCAGATGATGATAAAGATGCACAAGTTAACCTCAGAACAGTTAGAGTTTATCCATGATGTCCGCCGGCGCAGCAAGAACCGGATCGCAGCTCAGCGCTGCCGCAAAAGAAAACTGGACTGTATTCAGAACTTAGAATGTGAAATCCGCAAATTGGTAAGTTACATGTGGCACCTTCACTTATCTCTGATAACATGAATATATGTTGAGGGACAGACAGGTATTCAGTATGCTTCCAGTTCAGTCTGTAGCCAGTATGTACATGAGGTAAGTCCAAGTGATCAGTTTATTTTGCTTTCACAAAGATAGATTGATAAGTGTAGTAGAGGGGACCTTAGCACAGGGAGGTGGAGAGAGTTTAGATCACTTCCCTAGATCCACCCTTGCCATGTGTAAGTCATTATTAGGAATGTCAGTAAAAATACCTTATGGAAGGGGTATCAAAGATATGGCCCGCAGAGCTTTCATCTGGTCTGTAGAGCTGCCTATGGGTCTTGAACTGGGGTGCTGTATGCAGCATGCACTGGCCTTGCCCTTCATGGAGCCCATCTGGTACAAGCAGCACATAATACAAGGGTTGGAGCTGGCACACCCTGTGTGATCAGATCCATAGACCATCCATGCATGCTGGATCCAGTGTGCAGGGCTGGGCTGGCATTGGCAGCACATGCTGCTCACAGCATGCAGGGGCTGGAGCTGATCTGCACTGCACACAGTGCACAGGGCCAGTCTGGGGCATTTGCTATATGTGATGTTTGCACCAGACTGTCACTGCATGCTGGATCCAGGACCAGTCTGGATTGGGCCTATAAACCAGCCCCATGTGCCAGAACCAGCACATAGAGCTGATCCAGCACAGGCACCACATGCAGCATATGCTCCAAACCGGTCCTGCATGCCATGTGTAGCATATGCCCTGGACTGACCTGTGGAGTTGGTACAGGCTGGAGCCAGTGCATGGACTGCAAACAGCACATGGGGGCCAGTCCATGGCAAGTGCTATACCAGACTGGCCCTATGCACTGGCTCCAGCATGTGGCCCACATCTGACCCATGGGGCCACATGAGTTTAATTTCCCTGCCTTATGGTGAGAGAGGTGGGAAAAGTCAAAAAGTGAGTGCTTAATTCAAGTAAGTGCTAATTTACACCATGTAAATTTAGTTTAGAGGGTTGAGCCCTGGATTGGAGAACAGAAATGATTGACTGATTATTTGAACCTGACCCCTCTCTCTGGCCCCACATGAGTTACATAGGGTGGAAACAGATGTTAACTGATGTCTCATTTGTGATGCCATAAATGTATTTATGGCAGCACAAGTGCTGAGCAAATGGACGCCACTAGCCTTTGTTGTGCTAAGTCAAAAGAAAATCGGTGACATAACAAAAGGTAGTAATAGACTACTGCTTTGTTGCTCTGAAGTCTCCAGCCACACTGGGCAGATGGTCTCGGGGTTTAGGGACCCCACAAGCCCCTTGTGCACCTGCACACTTTCCCCACTTACAGAAAGGCACCCCAGGGAACCTTTCCCCACTCAGCCAGACCCACCTCCAAAGATCACATTGTCCCTTGTCCTGCACTGTCAAGGCACATCATAGCACAGTTGATCTGCTTCATTTGGCCACATCTATTTCTAGCCTTGGAGACAGATCCTGCTTAAGGGATTGTATGTTCATTTTGCATAAGTGAATCATTTTTTAAAATGTTTAACCATTCATGGGAGCAGGAGTGCCTTAATCCCTGGGCTACAGCGTCACATTCCCTCTTGCTTAGTCTCATTCTGGCCCATGAATCTTGAATTTCTCACTGCCTAGTGGCTGCGCTTCAACAGGAGGGGTAGAAAGTGACCCCAGCCAGGCTTCCAGCTGTCCTGGGAATTAGGAGAGAGAAACTGAACCCATCTCCTTTCCCCATTAGGATGAAGAGGAGCTTGTACAGTGAGTGTGCTAACACTGAACTATTATATCAGATCAATTTATATGCCAATATAAATCAGCATGTAAATCAAATAAAGAAATAAGAGGTGACTGACTATCCCACTACTGATTTAAGATGCTTGGCCATGCCTGAAGAGAATAAGCCAGGCACATATATATGAAGTGAATCAAGGCATGGAGAGTGAATAAGCCAGGCACATATATATGAAGTGAATCGAGGACTTTGGAGAGTGAATCTAAAGCTGGAAGTAGTCCTTGCTTTTGGGCCTCCATAAAATGCTAATGGCAGCACAAAGTCCAAGCAGAGGCCTGTGCCCCTTGTTGCACCACAAATGCCAACAATTGTGGCCATGACAATAGGTAGTAAAAATATGTGCTACTTTTTTGCCTCCTTCTTTGTCTTATGGCAGAGCTTCCCATGCTCTCCAGCCTCCTCAGGCAGCCACTCCCAGGGTTTCAGGGACTTGATTCTGCACACACAGGGAATTCCCCTGCATATTCAAGCTCTTAGTCCTGGAAGTGCCTGCCTGAGTTCTTTTGTTTGCGGACATGCATCTCAGGAATCCCTTAGTAGGGCTTTCACTGGGCGTGTATCGTGCTGCTGCTCCCTAACTCATAATATCTGTGTCGCCAAATAAAGCAGATCAGCTCTGCTGGGACACATCCCACCACAGCTGATCCCACTCGAGAATTATGTCTGTTTATAGCTTTAGTCTCACAGATAAGTCAGTCAAGGCTGCAGAAAGGCACCTAATTCTGGGAGAGAGGATATCCCTCTTCAGCATTTTCTGTTGGCCATCTTAGGCTCAGTACATCTCAGCCCCAGTCCTAGTCCCTTTGTCTCTCTAAGGCATGAGGAATTTAGGCTTCTTACTTGGGCTTGTGGATTCCACTCCCAGAGATGTGCAGCTGCCATTTAAACATGAGAATGTCCATATCACCAAACCAACACCCCCTTTTAGATTTAGCTCTTACTCATGACTTTATTTCTCAAATAGGGCAACCAAGATAAATATCAGCATCTTGAGAGAAGTACTGCGTGGAGCAACTCAACAATCTCTTTAAATATTTTCAAGAATCATTATTGCTGTGCTAGAGAAGGGGGTGTTTGTGTATAGAATAGTCTCCCCATTGAGAACATTTTTTTAATTTAGCTCAGGATAGTTCTTTTCCTTTTTTTTGGATATTTCAGCTCATCACACATTATCTCCAACTTGTTGATTCACCAAGCAGACTAGAAACATTGGAAAGAAATTGAAGAACCATGATAAGGAGTGCAAATGTATAGATAAATGAGATACCCAGCAACAACAATAGGAATCTCTCAAATGAAAAAATATACCATCAAACCCACCTCCAGAGTTTTGTTCACGGCTGAGATGTGGCCAGAATGTCTTATTTCCTGGTGTCGATAGCAATGATCTCAGATAACTTTAGAATATGTTCTCTGCTTGAACACTTCTGTGGTCAAACCAACCCTAAAAGCACCTATATGAGAAATGGTATCTTGTGTGAGAGATAATATTATGCCATTATTCAATTCAGTGAACATGACTCAAGAAATCATAACTCCCTTGAAGTCCTGTGCCCAGGCCTGGCATGACAGTAGCCCCCATACTTGGAAAAGCAAAAAGTCTGCTCACTGCTGCATCACCACTACTTAACAGAGGGAGTAAGCCCCTGCAAACAGGGGACAAGAAAAGGTCCTGGCTTCTATCTAGACCAGATTGCAGAGTTGAGCCAACACAATCTGCTCCACCTTGTGGATAGAATAGATCTTTGTGTCTCAGTTGCACACAACCTGACCATGTGTGCAGAGGGCAATAATACCAGGATAGATTGTACCTTAAGGCACTTTCTCACCTGTTTTTCTCCTGAAACAGTGTGGCTTCTCACTGCTACAAAAAGCAGCAGTAGCAGTGCAGCTGTCGTTAAATGTACATTTTGCCTATTAAATGTACTCCTCAGACTTCAGGTGGGAGATTTAAGGGCTAAACTGCAAGTGAAATAAAATGTGCATATATTTCAAATTTTAGTGAAGTACTGTGGCCACGTGTTATGTTGCTCACAGAGGAGTTCACACACCATGAGCACTATGAAGGTGAAGGTTGGGGTAGTTTATCATGAGGGCTGCAAGATGGATTTACAGCACGTGACCAAAAAATTCCAATTTAGGGTCCTACGGTCATTCTGAAGCATCAGTAATTGAGGAAATGGCCCTGTTGTCAAAGACACTGAGCACGTATTAACTTCGTGCATAACTTCGGGAGTTGCAAATGCACAGCAGCACCTCAGGCTATCTTTATTTCAGTGCCTAAATGTGGATGTAAGAGCATAACGCCACATCCCCACAAGTGAACATTTTGGGATTCTAGTGATAAACTAAATAACTAACGAAACCTAAGGAACTAAAGCTGAGATTTCCTGATGAGGTACTGGATGCCGAGTTTCCATTAAAGCCATTGGGTATTGGAGTTTGCAGATGTCAGCCTAAGTGTCCAGCTTAATAAATCCATTTTGACACATACTCATGTTTAGGTTGAGTTTAATGGCGCTTGAAAATGTGGGGCCTGTTCAGTTGATTATTAAGACAAGAGGTTTCCCATTGGGAGTGGCTCTTAGTGTTGCTTTGTTAAAATAGTCATGTTCACCCATGCACAGTGTATCAGGAATGAGGCTGAGTCCAGTGGAAGAAGCCAAATAATCTAATGGCACAGAGAATGCAGAATTTACTGTCTAACATGGAGCAAGTTACCTAATCTCTCTGTGTCTCTTAGTTCCCCTGTCTGTGAAATGGAGGTGACTTTTGGACCTCACAGGAAAGTAGGGAGACTAAATCTATCAAGATTGGGAAAACATTCAGACGCTGTGATGTTGAAGCCTTCAAAAAATAGGGACAAAGAAAATCTTTTTAGTCAGGCACATAAAAGAGGAGTCGTATATTAAATAGCTGCTTGCTTTAATAAACATTGTGCGTGGAGCAAGCAAGTTAGAGCCTGCTTCAGTGACCTAGTAAGGAAGGTACTCCTCTGGGTTCTGAACCCAGAACAGCTTAAGTTTTGCTTAGTTATTTAATACCAAATATGCCTGTATTAAATAATTATTGGTCCACAGTGTATAAAAGGGCTCCTTCACTCCCTCCCAGGGGAGTGTCCCCCCTCACTGGGCCAGAGTTGGGTTCTCTCTTGTTTTCTGTTAATTTCCATGACTCTTACACTCTTGGATGCCCAGTGGGCCCATTTCAAGAGGGGGAGTAAAGGGTTCTCTCAGGCTAATCTACCTCCTAATCTCCTGGTTAGGGATCTTTCCTAGGAAGTAGAAAATATGAGGCAAATGCCTCCTAGAAAGCCCAGGTCTGCCACTTTCTGAACAAGTGCCATCACCAGTAGGCCATTGAGAAAAAAGGTGAATAGGCCATCTTGCTTCTCCTTGTCCTGACCTAGGTGCAGTTCAATAAGCCATGAATTTTGGCAAGTATTTGATTGTGAATCCCACATTAACAGAAATGCTCAACTTGGGGTTGCATAAATGCCACCCATCTCCCAGAGAGAGTCACAATTCCAGTCGCTTACCCCTTGTCTACACCTCCCTGCATAGCGTCCTGGCTGCTATGAATCCTGACCAAAAGACACTTAAATGTCTCATTCAAGGACTGAAGACCCAGATACATGAGGTGGTTAATTCTACTTAGGGGTGCAGACATGTAAATTTTGGCAAAACGAAGCATAACATTCTCATGCTGGGCTCATTTTTAAATCTGGACCTAATTCCAGTAGTGAGGTTTTTATTCTGTCTATGCCAATTAGCCATTAACAAAAAAGCACAACAAATGGCTTTTCTGAGCATGGAAAACTATCTGAGATTAGCTGTTGCCCCTTGAATTCACACCACACTTCACTCTAGATTGTAAAAGTAAAGACAAGTCCTGACTGGTTTGTTCCACATCCGCCATAGCAGCTTAATTCTAACAGACTGGTATTTTTATAATTTTATAATTTAATGTAATACATCCTTCAGGGGCAAAATTGCTTAGAACCCTGGTAGACACTATACTTAAGACCTGATTAACCAGTTGTGTCTTAAATAGTATCCTGACCACACATTCAGACAATTAATGGTGCAATAAAAAGGAAATAAGCCATAACATTATTTCATAAAATATGTGGAATAGTTTTGCCGTGGTTTCCATCACACCTTAAATAAAAGATATGACAGGGTCCCTGCCACACAACCTGGCTGCATGGTGAGGCTTTGCGGCTGGCCCCAGTGTAGTCCCAAGGGTGGGACCCACAATCTCAGCCCCAGGACCACACCAGAGTTGAACCAGCTCCAGTTCAGTCCTAGGGCTGAGATCAACAGTCAGTGATTGTTAGACCCAGCCTTGGGACTGAACTGGAGTAAGTTCAACATGCTGCTGTAGTCCCAAGGCTGGGACTAATAATCAGCTGCTTGCAGGTCCCAGCTCTCGGACTACACCTGAGTGTCAAACTCATTTCAGGACAGTCCCAGGACTGGGACCAACATAGGAAATAGTAATGGCATGATTGGGATCTAATCCCCAATCCCAAAATCGTATGTCCTACCATGCACATGTGACATAGCAGGAGGTGCAAATGTTGGGATCAGGGAACAGATCCCATCACACCGTTAGGTGAACCAATGCCAGGGGTCTTAGATCCTTATAATTCTGCTAAATCCAAGACAGGAGTCCTTGTCACTATGGGACCAGGCCTCTGATAAATTTCAAGAATCAAAAATCTTTTCTTAGGGGGAAAAGACTTACTTTTTCTCAAATAAGTCTCAAAAACATGATATAGGAAATAGGCTGTGTATGCCTGTATAATATAATTCTATATAAAAAAGATTATGGTAAAAGAACCCTAAATAAAGTTTGGAGAGGTTAGGAAATGACAACATTAAGATAACTCAGGTAAACCTTAACTCTCCCTCCTTGACTGTAAGCATTTCAGGACATTTGTCAGGACTGCACGTTAGTTTTTTCCTTTGGAACACAAACAGCTAAACTCCCCACTGACTTAAATTGCCACATGATCACACCCTTTCATGAAATTACTGTGCCACACACTGTGGGTGACCAGTATGTCCCCATTTCACCATTTATGGAATGCTAGACTAGACTAGACTGCTTTACTTCTTATTAAAATGGGATTTTCCCACTGTCTTTATTTCCTATTCCTCAGCTGCCTTCTGCCACTAGTGGTTTACTAGGCAATATATGAAATGGTATTCCCTGCAGTTGATATTAGTCTTTTTCTGTATGCTTTCCTCATAGACCCATCTTTCTGTTCACTTACCTTCCCTGTCATCTGCGCACGCACACGCGCACACACACACACACACACACACACACACACACACACACAGAGTACATTCTCTTACATAATGTATCCCCTTCTAGATGCACTTTGGCATCTGCTTAATACTTTTATGCTTGCTTGGTAGATTTATCAGTATTTTAGGAAGTGGTAGTTTTCGGGTAATCTCTCTGTCTCTCTCCTATACCCGTGGCTTCATTAAAGCTGTATGATCCCAGCATGGGCTTTAGACTCATCATAAACTAAAGATCACTGTAATCTTGCAGCTAACTTTCTGACATGCACTGTCTTAAAGCATTGGGAAAGTATCTGTTAATACACAAAACTTCACTCAGTAATTTTATGCTATTGTCTGTGTTTATGTAGGAGGTCAGACTAGATATTTATGCTAATTTCTCTTCTGGCCTTAGATTCTAGTTTGTTGTTTGCATGAATTCAAACCTTTCTTTAATTGTTATTTTCCTAGTGTTTAAAGTAATTTTTTCATTAAGAAAAAACCCTTTTCTCACTCACTTACTGTGTGTATGTAAACTGAGCTGTACATTCCTTCTCTTCTATAATACAAGTTCAAAGTCCTGCATGAGATTAGGTTACCTGAGAGACCCTGTCTCTCATTCCTTAACTTCCTCCCATAAGATCTTCATTCCACTGGTATAACAAGACACTCAGCAATTGTATGCCTGAATGGGAGGAGACATGTGAGTAGAGGACAGAGTTTCTACCTGTGCTGCACTAAGCCTGTGAAACACACTGGCAGAAATAAGAAAAACTGTTGCAGACTTTGTTGCATTCAGAGCTAAGTATAAAACTCACCCAGCCCTTTCTCCCCCTATCCTAAATCTGGAAGGGGCCTTCTGGGCAGTTGAGTCCAATCCCTCCATTTGCAGGCAGTCTTTAACCATACAAATCCCTCAAAGCACAGCTTCTATCCCCAACTCGCAACATAATGAATAGTATCTGAACAGCACCATCATGGTACAAGTCCTTTTTAGTAAGGGAAGGGAGAGAGATTATATTGGTAGCAATCTCATAATGACTAATGAAGACAGAATAAGTCAGATACTGCTGGTTTCATTCCAGTAGAGTGGAGGTCACATGGCACACGGGGCCAGCATGCAATCTTCTACTCCAGGGTGGTCAACCTGCAGCACACATGTCACAAGTAGCATACGCTGTCTCTTTGTGTGGCCTGTGGCAGGTCAGGGAAAGGATAGGCAGCACAGTGGCAGATAGGACAGGAAACAAAGCAGGGCAGGAGATTGGTCAGGGGACATAGGGCAGAAAGCAGAACAGATTGGGCAGGGAGCACAGGGCAGGATATAGAAAGCAGAGCAGCAGATTAAGTGGCACTCAGAGAGAGAGAGAGTATGGGGCTAATTCGTGGCACCCCAGCCCAAAAGGTTGGCTCCCACCATTCTACACTATGCAAGTCTCTCAAAGAAACTGAGTGCCGTGTGAGTGCAGTGAACTCTGTGCTGGCTGAAGTCTTCGTGGGTGATAATTGCCTGCTCCAGTTGCATGCAGGCTGAAACAGTAGGTCAGGAAGGGAGCAAGCAATGACACAGCCCACAGGATCCACATCTACATAGATCTTGTTGTTCTAGCAACCCAACCATCTCACACAGAGGAGTTATAAAAAGCTTTGTTAGCTGAAATGTAAACCAAAGTGGGGATGCACACACAACTGCACTTCCATGCACACAGAACTGGAAGGGATACCCTGGGCAATTGAGTCCAGTCTCTTGCTTTCTCAAGCAGTCATTAACTGAAGGATCCCTAAAATCATTCCTCTCCCACAGCTACAGGGGACAATAACTGAAGTGCTTTAAAAGAAAAAAGAAAAAAAACCTTTAACATGCACTGTAAACCATGAGAGCACTACTAGTGCCCCCCTGCTTCAATGATGGGAAAATGGTAGGTTAATAAGTGCTCAGAAGATCTTAGGAAAAGGACCACATGCCACAGTACGGAGGAAGGCAACCCTCTCCCCACCCACTAGTCAGTACCAGCCTGACCAGGGGGACTGGCTCTGGGTTATAAAATGAACTGTACTTTCCCAACCTGTCCTCACTTGATCCACCTGATAACACCTCATACTTTTGTAGATAGTGGATTTCCCCCAATAGGAAATCTTCTTTTCTGAATCCATGTATCAGTAGCCAGAATAGCAGAGAAGAAAGCAACAGCCGTTCACAGTTAGTAACCTTATTCTGATCCAATCAAACATCTTGTTAGCAGTGGTTTGTTGGCAGGACACACGGAGGCCCGGTTATGAAATGAGGATGTGACTTGTGCTCTGCTGCATAAAATCAGATGTCATTCAGTTTTACGCAGTGGTTAATGGAGTATAGAAACCTGGAACATGGCCTTAACAGCATCAAGTGGATGGGCCTTTAGAAAGCTAAGATGCCTTCTTTCTTTTTCAGGTGTGTGAGAAAGAGAAATTGCTGTCGGAAAGGAACCAGCTGAAAGCATGCATGGGAGAATTGTTAGATAATTTTTCATGTCTTTCCCAAGAAGTGTGTAGGGATATGCAGAGCCCTGAACAGATCCAAGCCCTTCACCGATACTGTCCTGTTCTCAGGCCTATGGATCTACCAACAGCCACAAATATCGACCCTTCACCAGCTGGAGTAGAGCAAAACCTAGTGACATCCCAGTGTATTGGAGAAAGCATGCAGTGCTGCTCAGAGCAAAGCTCTGTGCAACTGGGAGCTCACTGGCTACCTAACAACATTTCCGAAAATTGTACAGCTGGAAGAGGGCTGGATGGAGCTGACCAAGGTACTTACTCAGAAAGAGAGCTTCCTCTAGAACAGAGTAGCCAAACAGTGACAGTAGACTTCTGTCAGGAAATGACTGATAAATGTACAACGGATGAACAGCCTAGGAAAGATTACACCTAGTGACTTGTAACCTTATGTTACACCTGGTCAGGTGTTCTTCAGTCAGCCAGTGGCAGTGTTCATTTGTTGTCTAGAAGAACGTATTTGGTGCACACTACAGTGGTCTTAGCAGCAATACTGTTTTTAAGTATTCCCTCCTCTCTACAAGCAGGAGTTTTCTTCACAATGGTGCTATCCCTTGCTCAGGCAGGGAACTAAACAGTGGCAACACTGTCTGTTTTTGTATGTTGATTTCAATCTTAACAGGGATGGACATAACACCTCTGAGGACCCAACTGCAGCTTTTTTTTCTCAGTGGCCCATGTCACAAAACCCTAACTCAGGAATTTCCTCTGAATGTTCAATTTTTCATTGAAGACAGCCTCTTTACACATCAAAGTTTTATAGCTAAACTGTACATATTATATATAATATATATAAAAAATATATATATCCATATGCAAAAGTCCCCTGCATGCCTCAATTTTTCTCATCCTACAACTGGAAACTTTCAGTTCTGTTGTATAAACAAGTTCCAACATTCCTTTTATTTTTTTTTTTGTCTTTGATGCTAGAACTAGTTTGGTAACTTGTTACATGATTTTTTCTCCCCTTTTGGTTCACAGTTCAGCAATATCATTCAGTTTGTACTTATTTATACAGTTTTAATGTTGGAAGCTTATTTGAGATTTTATTATAGACAACATATTTTTGGCACAGCGATTTCGTGCCATTTGAGCAATGTGGATTTATTTTATTTTCTTTCAGATACTGTACAGTAATGGTCAACTTTGCCACTTGCACTGAGTTTCTGGTCAAACCTCTTTTCATAAATGAAGTTGTGACTTCAGTATAACTTGAGAATACTGTTTGCTTTATCATGTAAAGAAAATTATAAAGATTTAGCTAATAACAAAACACTCAGGAGATGATCATGTAGGAAAAACAGTCTTGCCAAATACTGAGTTCACCATATGATGTGTAATAGCAAATCTGCTTGAATATTTTTTATATTTGTTTATTTCTGTTTCCCATGCAAAGTTTAAGTGCTGTTAGTGATGCTTTTGGATTCCTATTGGGTAAGATACATTTGGGTCTTAAGAAATTTTAAAAAAGGAAAATCTGACAAGTATTCCTAATTTGTATGTTAGGTCCTAATTCAAAGCCCACTGAAGTAGATGTCAATACCCACATTGACTTGAGTGAGATTTCCAGCAGGCCCCCAGCTTGTAGGCTTTATTCACCTGAGTAGTCCATTGACTCTAATTCTGCTTTCATACCCGTTTTCCACAGATATTACCCCATGTACTTCAATGGACTTGCCTTTTGAGTGTCATAATCAAGCTCTTTCAAGTCAGTGGGACTGTTCATTGTAAGAAACAGTTGCAAAATCCAGCCTATAATTGCAAACCATATACTTTTCAATACCTGATTTGCTTGCTTACCCATTGAAGTGTTTGTTATAGGATCTTCTCGTTTTAACAGCATTTGCCATCAGCACAAATGAGTCTAAAAGATCACAGTCTCAAAGGAGACTACTCAGTGAATTGGCTTAGTTGGAACTGTATTGAGTTTGTATCTCAAGCAATCAAGTGATCAGTGAATCAGGTCATGATTGTGTGACACAACAGCTTTCCAAGCATAGCATCAGCATGTACAGTATAGATTGAAAAAAAAACCCTCATGTTTTTTATTATAATTATTATATGTGTATTGAGTTTTATTCTGTGGTTCTTTGCCCTCACTTGTGCCAGCGTGTAATGGCTTTATCCCTGACGACAACACCCATACTCTACAGGTTGACATTGTTTGCTTTTGCTGCAAAACTGATCATCTGTGCACACCTGTTTAAAGAAGCAGCTTCTCACAAGTACTAAGTGACAAAACGTTGTTTTTGTGCTAACGTTTACACTAGAGGGGTGTCTTGGTGCTTTTTTGAGGCACTCGGTTAGATCAGCATCTTATATTGGAGGAGGAATCAGCTCCCTCGCTCCATTGTATGTGTTTTAAGATTGTGCTTGCGGACCGTCACACACTTGCCACAGTCTTGCTTTTTACCCTCTTCTCCCAAACGACCGTAGCTTGGCTACAGAGGAGGAAATGCATATAGCATGTGCCATGTTTGTTGAAAAATGTTTTTTCCGCATGTACAAAGAAAAAATAGTATATAATGTAGGATAATATTTATGTTTAAGTATTAATCATTTCTGTATAAAATCTTTATCTTTAAATGTTCAGAAATATACAAATGCCATAAATTCCTAATTCAAAAGGTTGAAGGACAGGGGAAAATTATCCCTTCTTTTAAAAGATAGCGATTGAAATATACTTAGAATCTCCAGCCATTTTCTACAAGTAACTGATTTAGCAGCTCTTCTTGGAGAATCTGATTTTCCTTTGAATTCATTGACGTTGCAAAGCAGTTCCATGCTTCGCAGAGAATTTTGTTTCTGTGAGACCATGGTGAAAGCTAGAATTTAAAACTAAATGTGAATGACCTTTATAGTAATAGCTATTTTTTTTGGTCAACTGACAGTATTTTAAAGATATTTCTGTTGCCTTTTTTAATTTTAAGTGACCTCTTATAAATATACATAGATATAGATATATATACACACCCCCATTGAAGTGTGTGTGTGTATGTGTGTGTGTATATGTATGTGTGTGTGTGTGTGTGTGTGTGTGTGTGTATATATAGTAGATAGAACATTTTATGAGTATAAAATACAAGTTTTAATTAGTTTCCTGACATGAGAATTTACTTTACTAATAACTCATGTGCAACTGGTACTCTTGACCTCATTCCAATCGTTAAAAACAACCCACCAATAGAACATATTGTTCTGCATCTCTTTGGATTGACCTGGCTCAGACGGCTGCTGGGTCTCTTGACTTTCTTTTTCATGAGAACTAATATTTAAAACCACTGCTCAAATAAGTCTCTCTCTCCAAGCTGTTTCAGGATATTTGATATCATTCTTTATCATTAGAAGCGACTGATTTGTGTCATTGCTTCCTTGATCTGTAGTCACATGTATTACCTTTATTGGTTATATTTTGTTTTGCTATTCTGAACCACATGGCTTTCAAAACTGTTATTCGGTTAACTTTGAAGGGAAACATTGAGGAGAATTAGGTTCAGAACTGGACACAAGTTGATGTATAAACATCTTGTAGTGCTGGTAGAACAATTAAAACAAATGACCAAAAAATTCATTTAAAAAAAAAGTTAACTGCTATATTTAGCAACTTCAAAGATTTAGCCAATAACAAGCTTTATCTTTAAATAAGGATTGTGCAGTTTGATTTGCAAAGAAATCAGCAGGTTTTGCTCTGACATACTGCTTTGAAATTCTGTGCTAAATGGGACTCAATTGTCATATTGAATACTGCACTAAAACAGCATGCATGTGAATCCTGGAGCATCTAGTTATGTCCATTCTGCATCTAGTCCTCCTTTTTATTTACCTTTGCTCTACTTGTACTGCCAGAAAACCTCATTTCATTAGGCTTATTATGCTTTTGTCAGGTGAGTACTACACTATATAATGTATTTGTTTCTCTGCGTTATCTGGGGGTGCCTTGAATACAATTAAAGCTATTTGCAAGCTGATTCTGGAACAAAAAGGTAGTGCAAAAAAAAAAGTCAGCCATGTTATCAGGACATCCCAGTATTTATATCACAGACTTCCTAACATATGATGACTCAGGCGTCAGAATTTGATGCTGCAGTATAAACTATTATTTTATATATTGTACAAGTAATTTATGAAATGTCTTTCTAAGGGTATATGCTGCTTTTAAGATGCACTATATTTTTGGATCTAATCCTTGTATTTTTTTCCCAAGGAAGTAAAACATTGTGCTGCAGAGGTAAACCACAGTGATTAGTATGCCAACTGCTACTTCTCTTTAAAAGGGAGAGTGGGAACTGCATAGAGTAACTTTGCTGAATGATGTAACTGGCTGCCAGAGAAACGATTAATATTGAGAGTATGTTATTAGTTTTAAATTCAACATTTTGTCAAGTCTGTATTTTGTAAAGGCTTACAAAGAAGTCAAAACAAATATTTGTATAGTTAGATTTTAATATTGAACCTCATGATTGCCCATTAAAAAAACATACCTGCATGCCAGAGTGAGTGTAATCCTATAATATTATATGGTTGGACCCTTTAGGAAAAACCTGATGAAACGCTGCAATTCCAGCATCTACATAACATCCTCGCTGGTGTCATGTAATCCAACACTGTGCATGTGAAAAATAGAAATAAGGCTCAGCTTGGAGAATAGAATTGTAGTATATTTTGCCATAAGATAATGTGGACATCCACCAAGCCTTCAAAAGCTTGCAGTCTGATTTATATCCAGCCTTCCATGGTTCAGTTGATTGCTCCTCAATTACAACATGGGGAATCTGTTCACATCTTTCTGATTTAAAATATGGTGGGTGATGGCTATTTTAGTAAGTTCTGTAGTCTACATTTTGCATCTTTTTTAATATATATCTTTTAGGTTCTGTCTAGGGAAGTT